AGAACATTAAAGGCCTTGTTTGTTTGGCGAGAATGGCCAGGTTCAGGAGCCCAACCCCGTCAGAGATGGCCTAAGCGATGAAGCATTCCTGGCCTATAGAAAGATCTTTGTTGCTTTAAGTCAATCGGGTTCTACCCCGGCCTATCCTGGTGATTCCCTTCACCCGGCCCCTGGGAACTGACCTCGAGAATTAAATGCAACTTGGAAGGAATCCCGAGTGATAAGGGTGAAGCAATGGTGCGGGGTGTGTGGTGGCGCTGCAGCAGATCCCGACAGCGACTTCGGTGCTCTGCTCTCCGTGTCTATAACTTCTCCAACCGCCTTGTCGCTGGTAATGCCACTACCCTCCTTTTCTTCCCCTGCTCCAGTCCTAGCTGCTAGGGTTCTTGGGTGCGAGAACCGGCGCCATGCCAGAAGATTATGCTGCTAGTTCAATTTTTGACCCGAAGTCAGCAGGGATACCCCAACCGATTTTTGTATTTTTATGTATTCGAGACCTGTTTAGAATTACGCTCCTACGAGAGTCGAGACCTAGGACCTGCTGGATGCTACCGGGTGCTCCTAACCACTGGGCTAGAGACCCTTTGGCATGCTGCTAGTTCATTGCATCCCCTCTCTATGTCAAGTCAGAACAGTGGTGTCTTGGTGTTGTTCATTAGCATCCCTCTCTATGTCAAGTCAAAACAGCGAGTGGGGGAATTATTGAGTAAAAAAAATGGGTGGTGGATCCTGTCCCTACTTGGCTGGGAGATAATTTTAATTGCTTGATGATGATGTCAGTTGGCTGGGATGGACTTGTTTATTAACATTCACGCATTGCCGTGTTACTTGTTATACTAATAATCTCTCTTTTTACTATGCATGATTGTTGGTGAAAATGTAGATTCTTTTTAGAACGAATAAAAATATATTTTTCTTTAAGGTAAAAGTAGTACATTTATTCTTGGACTTCTCTACATGTAACTTAAGTGGGTTTTGTTTATTGCAATGACAGTGGGCTTAAATAAATCCCATGATAAGTCCATTGGTGTGACCACAATCACAAGAAAAGAAAATGGAGTAGCAGAGTTTGTGACACACAGAATGAACCATACATAGTCTCTTGAACTCTTCTTTCCTGCAATTTAATACAGCTCCATCGGATAATGCTGGCTGTATGCTTGTTTACTGATGCAGTGGCACAAGCATTTTGTTTTGTCAATGGGCAACTGGAATCAATAAATAACTGGAGCTGAGCTTTGGTCAGTTCTTCCAGCGTCTTGAGATGTTGGCCCTTGTATTTTCTAACATCCTTTCCTACCCTAGCGTTCTTGTCAAACCCTAGGGTTCTTGCCATTATTATGCTGCTAGTTCTGTCAGTTTGATGTTGTATTTTCTTCTGCGGTTCTCTTTCCAACTGCAGCAGTCTGCAGATAAGGTTAGATTTGTCATGCCGGAAAAATGTATTCCAAGGAATATAAAGCCAGCATATTCGGAGATAGCTACCAATAATCCATAGCAAAAGCTAGCCTCCACCTAACTGTAATTACAGGTCGTGCATACGATTTTGGTTTTCAGGATTCATAGCCAGGATGGATGCGTACATACCATTTTGGTTTAGGATTTCTTGTGGTTCACGGCCGCAGCGGCGTGTGGTGAACAGGGGGAGGTGAGAGGTGCTTCGGTAATCAAATGCAGAGACTCCCCTGCTATTTGTAATGCTACTCTACCAGTTGACTGGCACTAGCGAGTAGTGACTAGCCTGTTCTGTTTGCTGTCTGGATCTTTACTGTAGAGGTCTGGTGCTTGCTGCAATTAAGTGAAACTTTCACATTGTCTTTGTTTTTTTACCTGCATTTTCTGTCGGTCAACAGTCATTTGGTACAGACCTCTGTAATAATTTATGTCAGCAGCGCATTTGGCTGGTCAGGTGGTGGCTTTGTTTCAGTTTATTTCAGCTTATTCTCTCACGTAATACTATTCAATCATCTAAAACCATCTGAAATTTACTGTGCTAAGGCACCAGCCGAAGAAGGGCAAAGGGTGTTGCGGCTTAGAGTGGCCTATCGTTCGTGTTAGCAGACCTGATGAGCGCATATTTCTAGAAAGAAGTGAACAATTCTAGCTTCCAAAACTGAAATTTTCTCCTGACATGGCTGTACTTCTGTATAGAAACGTAAAAGCATCAAAGCCCAGGGCAAGCTAACAGTAAGGCTAGGGCTGAGCAGCAATCCCTGTATTATTTCCCTCTCAACCGAACACAACAAAATAAGAGAGGTTTAGGAGAAGCAAGGGATTAATCCCCAGGGGCCTATATTATTTCCCTCTGAACCGAACACAACAAAAGAAGAGAGGATTTAGAAGAAGGAAAAAGTCCACATTACCTTGTTAACTTTTGCGAAAGTCCGTTTTTTTCTCCATAAACTCTAAAACAGGGCAAAACATCTCAACTTTTAAAACCGTTATCTTACCTCCCTAAGAGGCTATGTTATAAGCGGTTTTGAAGATGATTTTGTCTTATTTATTTATTTATTTCGGCTGAATCTTTAAAAAATCATAGTAAATTATAGAAAAATTATAAAATAGAAAATTCAATTTCGTTGGACTCCACATGAATAGATTTACACAGTAAACATATAATAGATCTATAGTACAAATTTTGTTATACGCGCCTCGGGTTGGTCCCCACCGAGCCAAGAGGCACCCACAATGCGAGGCCCGTACTAGTGGTGCTTTCGTGCCGACGCTTCGGCCTGGCTCCCCACTACGAAATTTATTTTGAGATGTTATCAAAGGTATGTTGCAAAAGTTGATAGAGATGTTGCATATGTTATAAGTGTTTCAGAGGCATGTTGCAAGTATTTTAGAGGCATGTTGCAAGTGTTTGTTCAAAATGTTTCATCTGTTTCAGGTGTATGTTGCAAGCGTTTTTTTATCTAGATGTTGCACATGTTTCACACATATGATGCAAGAGTATGTTCGAAATGTTTCCTCTGTTTCAGTCTTATGTCGCAATAAGTATTTTTATGTTGCAAGTTACAAGTGTTTTATTTGGATGTTGCATATGTTTCACACACATATTGCAAGTGTATGTTCCAAATGTTTCATATGCTTCTGGACATATGTTGCATTAGTGTTTAGTGTTTTGGGGTATGTTCGAGTCATGAGGGCACGGTGGCCGGGGCGACGGATGAGCTTGTGGCAGTGCGCTTGGGGGTCCTACTGGATGGGGCGTGCTCGTCCTCATCCCGGCTCCAAGTCTGCCCCTGCGGAGAGAATGGGTCGAGGAGAAGGAGCGGCGAGCGGCGTGGCGGGCGAAAGCGGATGGGGATTGGGGTATGCGTCTTGAGGGTGGGACAAGGCGACAAGGACGGATGCACACGTCAGAAGTGGCGGCCAATGACGCAGCATTGCATGCGTGGCGGGTAAATTTGGCGACCAAAGTCGGGGTCACGCGATGGCATTTTCTGATGGGCCGTTCTACTAGGCCATTTGCTGGGAGTGTGCCCTGGTTATCGTCTGACGAAATCCTATCCCATCAAACGTCCAGGCGCCAGCAATTCCCTTGGGAGAAGCAAAGGATTTAATCCAAAGGGGTTTGAGTGCCATCGGTGATACGCTCAATCTCTCCTTGGATCTCACGATCCTGTTCTAATACAAATCATCGACTATGTTATAGTCATAGAACTCGCCATTGACACAACTTACTTCCGACATCGAAACTCTCAAACTTCGACATCCAGTGTATACACTCTATTACATTATCTACCACTAGCAAACATGCCCATGTATTGCAATGAGAACCAAATCGATATAGGAATTGAATTTCAGATTATTCTTTGGACGAGTTATTCTAACTCGTATGGGCATATATGTTATGAGTCTAGGTCACATGCTAGATATCTGAAAGGGTATAACCCAATACATGCTGAAATCAGACTCATGTATCGATCGATCGACGCTATCTGGCGAGTTGCTCTAACTCATTATCTGACGATCGAGAGGTCAGACGAAAAAAACTTTCAACTATCTGTGTAGTTAGGTAAATGTGGACAAATGAAGAGATAACTCTCTTCACATACTCGTACTTGTCTCAAATGTGTTCTTATGTGTTGTTCTTGATGAGGATTATACAAGGGAGACAGGATTATCTACAAGTTCTACACGCCTCTTACTAATTCTTTTCTTAGAATTAGGAACCGTAAAACAGTCCTAACAATCCGTGCATAGGTCAATTTTCAACATAAGTAAACCTGGTAACAGTTTGGGCCAACACTTACTGCTTCTACCTCTAATATTCCATCAGGCAATATACTTAAAAAACAACATTTGGCATGCCTTGCACCGGCGGTCAAAGTTGCCCACTCACACTCCTGTTCAGTAACAAAAAAAAAAGGAGTACACAGATTCTCACTTGGGAACTTGACGTCTATAAATCTGCAAAGAAATCCGATGCCGGCCTACTTGAACTCTGTCCTTTACCTGCCTTTTTTACTCCTTGACCCTGAGCACCCCCAGAGAGAAAAGAAACAGCTTTCAGAGAAGAAAAATGCGAACCCAGAAAGCAGGATTATCATGCTAATGGCACACAGCGTAGTTCAATATAAAATCTCACCTTTAGAAGAGGTTGCCGCCATGTCTACATCCATCGCATCATCATCGCTATCGTCATCGCTATCATCACTACCAGCTTCAGCAGGTTCATCACCATTGACTACCCGTGGGCCATTCAAGAGTTCTTCCAAGTCCCAGAGCTGCATACAAAGAAAAAAAAATGTCAAGTCAGACCAACATATGGGCACACCAACAATGAGAATGAGAAAGGATTGTCACCTTCAGCATTTTATCATGTGAGATGCTGCCGAGATATTTCTTATCGTTTGAGAACGCTGCATAGCATAAATAATAAATGAGAATATGCTGTTTTTTCCACCAAATCTTACAATCAAATGGACGCACATACCAAGGGCCTCAATGGGATATTCTGAATGTTCAGCAAGTGGCTGAATTATCCTATTAGGTAAGATGCCCACTAATCTACACAAAGAACAAAGATTTCATGTCAGAACAGCAGTCCATCAGACTAACAGGAAATTGCCTGAGAAGTGAGAAGTTAACTCAAAGCAACAGTGGTGAATTCCAAACCTGATCACACCATCTGATGAACCAGAAACCAAAGTTTCTTCATCCAGCTAGAACACAATAATAAGAATGAATACACAAATAGAGCAGAAATGACAGTTACCATAATAAGGTTAGGGTGCCACGAACCTTCAGCATTGTATCCACAGACTGTGTGTGTCCGAGAAAGCGGACACTAACCACAAAAAGACATGTCACAACTTTAGACCACATCGACCACATAAAGCTTGCAGAATTAATTGGGTCTAAACCACAGAAACTGAAGGAAGCAAACTGGCAACATCTCATAGTGGCATGTTTAGGAAGCTACGAATATTAGATGTCAAGATACGTCTAAGGAGCTACTGACCACAAGATCTTTGCAAATTGGAATAATCGAAGAAAATGAATTACACTCGATTGCCTGAACTTATCAAATTACCCATAAGAACAAAATGTTGCAAGTAAGTAGCTAGACAAGTGGAATTTCTCCTGCCAGAGGGCAGCTTGACACTTAGCCGCTTGATTGCATTATGTAGGAATAGCAAACTTGAGATACAAGAAGTTCTCAACTACTATAGCATATTCTAGTGCATAAAGTAGATGCTAGCTTGGATGCTAAGGCACCTGAAAACAGCTAGACAGTGAATAGTAAATAGCTAAGTAGATAACTAGATACATGGGTAAGCACTAGGCTAAACCCTCAATTCTCCCCCTTAGCCTTGTGCCCTGCCTTGGGGATGATCTGCCTCAGACCAATTCTCTCCCTCATCTCTTCAAATTTGGCTCTGTCCAAGGTTTTGGTGAGAATGTCTGCAAGCTGATCAGTAGTTGAGATGTGATCGGCCTTGATGCTTGGCCTTGATGCTTCCATCTTCCAGGCAGCTGCGGATGAAGTGGTACTTGATCCTTATGTGCTTGCTCCTCTCATGGAAGACTGGATTCTTGGCCAGAGCGAGGGACGACTTGCTGTCCACCTTCACTCCACCACCTCGACATGCGTGCGAGGAGCTCTGCTAGCGCCCTTGAGAGCCACAGAGCCCGGGTTGCAGCAGAAGAGGTGGCAATGTACTCTCTCCATCCCAAATTGTAAGACGTTTGACTTTTTTGGCCCCAAGTTTGACCACTCGTCTTATTCAAAAAATTTGTGCAAATATAGTCAAATTTAAGTCATTCTTGAAGAATTTTTATTAATAAACCAAACCACGACGGAAGAAGTGATATTTTACACAAATTTTTGAATAAGACGAGTGGTCAAACTTGGTGTCAAAAAAGTCAAACGTCTTACAATTTGGGATGGATTGAGTACTCTGCTTGGCGGTGAAGCGCCACCACCTTACGCTTGATTGATTGCCACCACCAAGCAATTGCCGGCGAAGAAGAGTGTTCCACTCGTGCTCTTGCTTATGTCGATGTCGCCAAGTAGGTCATTTGTCCGCAGATGCCAAGCGAAGCAAGCGGGCCGAGTGCCTTGGTGAAGTGCAGACCGTAGTCGAGCGTGCCAGCGACATAGCGGAGAATGCGCTTGACAACTTGTTGGTGCTCCACCATAGGCCGCTCCATGAATCGGTGACGGGTTAACGGCGAATGCCGGATCGGGGCGAGTGTGCACTTGTAGCGCAGATCGCCGATGAGGCGCCGGGTTGTGTGGGATCGACCTCACGCCGCCGTCTTTGTGCGCTAAGCCTCAGACGCTCCTCCATTGGAGTATGGGCAGGGTTGCAGCCAACCATTCTGCTAAGCTCCAGAATCCTCTTGGCATAATATGTCTGACGGAGGGTGATGCCGGTGGCATCTTGATGCACCTCGACACCGAGGTAGAAGAGAGAGGCGAGGTCAATCATGTCAAGGTCGTCTTCATCCAGAACCTTGAACGCCTCCACTCTCGATCCTCTGCGCGGTGATGATCAGTCGTCGACGTGAGACGCCGACGAAAGCGTGATAAATTGCTTCGCCGATACATCGCCGCCTCATGAGCGCTTTGCTGGAAGCCCATCTCCTTGAGTGTGGCATCCAGCTTGGCGTTCGGTATTGTGAGCTGCTGCCACAGTCGTAGAGGCCTTGTGGAGGCGGTAGACCTTCCCCTCTTCTCCGACGACGGCGAAGCCGGTCGGCTGCTGCACGTATACCTCCTCCTTGAGGTCGTCGTTGAGGAAGGCCAATTTGACATCCATGTGATGGACGCGCCAGCCTTCTTGAGCCGCCAGCGCGAGGAGGACCCTGATGGATTCCATGCGCGCCACCGGAGCAAACACGTCGTCGTAGTCCACCCCTTCTTGCTGGACAAAGCCGCGCACCACGAGTCTTGCCTTGTGCTTGGTCACCACGCCCAACTCATCTTTCTTGAGCTTGAATACCCATTTCAGGGTGATGGGCCGGTGACCGGCAAGGAGCGGCACCAGCTCCCAGGTCCGGTTCTGCTCCACCGCCTTGAGCTCTTGCTCCATTGCCGCCGGCCATGCCGGATCATCCTTGGCCTCGGCATAGTTGGCAGGCTTGCCGGCGTGTGTGAGGTGAAGCTCGGCGAAGAGGCGGCGGAGGCGGAGGATGGTCGCGGATGATGTTCGTCATCGTGCGGTATCGCAGCGGCTCGTCGTCGTAGTAGGCGTCGAGTTTGTCTTCATCATCCTCCAGTGGAGTCGCAAACTCCACTTGGTCTCCAACCACAGTTGCTGCCGCTGGTGATGCCGGTGAAGCAGTAGGAGCAGCAGGGGATGTTGGCGGTGGCGAGGCCGATCGGGGGTCTTTGTAAAGGCGACATCTGCTGCCGATGTCCCCTCCTGCTCCCGGATTTGGTGACGACGAGCGGTGCGAGTGTGATGGCGCGCCCGGCGATGTAGCTCCGGCGCCATCGAGAAGCATCTTGTGCTCCCGGCTCCTCCAGCCTCTCCCGAACTTCGACGATGAAGTCGCTTTCATTGCGGCTGCGGCCAGCTGCCGGCATCCGGTGACTCAATCCCGACCACGCCCTACGTCCGAAGATGACGTCGCGGTGATCGACGACATGGCTGCGTTGCGGGTCCAGGATCGCGGGGCGCCTTTGGCTCCCTCCGCGTGCAGGCGAAGACGCCGGGCTTGCCGTGATCATCCAGCTTGTGGAGCTGTCCCAGATCCTTGGTGTAGGCGACAGCGCAATTAATGTCTTCGGTGGCGACCGGCGGCATGCGCACCCATGCCGGGCCTCGTAGGGTCTTGCCACCGCAAGCTCTGCGTCGATGAGTGATTGAGCGAGATGGATCGTCGTCATCACCGCCGCCCCAAAACTTGGCCGACATCCTCCTCTGCTTTAGCAACGCCCAGAAACCATAGCCACCACGGTTTGGTTCGGCGTTCCACCACGCCATTCTCGGCGAAGGCGAGTGAGGCGCCGAAAGTGGGCGCTGGATGCCCTCTCCCGCGCGATGGTCGGCGAACTCGCGACGGTAAACTTCGCCGCCCGTTGTTTCAGCGCATAACAACCGAAGCTTGCGGCCGCTCTCTCCTTCTGCCATGGTGAATCTTCTTGACAACATCCGCGGCAGTATCCTTGATTCGGCGGCAGGCGGCCCACATGAAGCGGGGCGCGTCGTCCACCATCAAGAGGAAATAGCGCCGCCTCCTAGAGTCGCCGGCATCACGGGCCCGCAAAAGGTCGCCGTGGAGGAGCTCCACCGCTTGCAGCGCAGATCTTGGGCCTCGCTAAGGGAAGAAGCGCCAACCTTTGCGCCCGTCGTGGCGCAGTGTCGCCGAGACTTGTTCGGCGATGCTTGATCACCGCGCATGTCACGCACCCATAGTCTCGCTTGTCGGCCGGTGTAGTGCCTCGAAGTGCGGTGGTCGAACCGCTCGTGCCGGCGCCGAGCGTCGTCGTTCTTCCTCGGGCGGCGGCGTAGCGGCCATGACCTCAAGATGGAGGACATAAGGCGGCTAGGCCCGCGGTTCACCTGTGGCGAGGAGGCACCAGCGGCGATCCCAGATGCGTAGGACGCCTTGTCGATCTCCACCTTGGACCCGCCCTCATCGAGCGTGGCGCCGAGGCTCATGATGGAGTTCTTGCAGTCACCGGATGAAGTAGACACCGTGCGGACTCGGTGCTCGTTGGTCTTGGCTTGGAACACGATCGAGCCGACGCCGTGAATCTCCACCCTTGACGCTGCGTCACCCGAACCGCACCGAGCCGCGAATGAGAGGTGTCGAGGTCGAGAAGAGCTCGCGAACGGCCGGTCATGTGGTGGGTAGCGCCGCTTATCGAGGTACCGACCATCGAACTTGTCCTCGCCGGAGCCGATTTTGAGAACGACGAGCCCGGGGTTTGTCGATGTCGAGGTTGGCGTCGGCCTTGGAGCAGAGGATGTCCTCTGTTTCCAGCTCCAGGAAGTCGTGGGCGAGAAACAGAGCCGCCTCGTCGTCATCCGTCTCCGTGAGATGCGCCGCGCCACCACGCTCGCGTCGAGGTACGAGGGCAATCGCCGCCCGATGGGCGGCGTGATGGCGATTGAGGCGAGTGTCGTCGTGGTTACGCCTTATGTTCACCACCGCCGCCGCCACCGACCTTTCCTCCTGCCCGCTAACGCCACGGTCGCCCGGCTTGCCACGGTTGCCCTTGGGCTTCTGCTTCTTGCCGCCGCGAGGACACCGACGGGGTTCCTTGGACGAGCTGGACGAGCCGGAGCCATCTCCTCCTTTCTTCTTCTCCTTCTGCCGAGCGAGCCATTGCTCCTCGGTGTACATCAGTTTCCCGCCGATGGAGATGGGCTCAGACAGAGGTTCTTCCTCGAGATCGTCCACCGTCTTCAACCTTCCAGCGACCTCTTCGTTGGTGAGGTCCTAGAAGTCGAGGAGGGTCTCGATCGCGATCTTCAGCTGGGAGTACTTCTTGGTGCCGCCTGAAGAAGCTTTTCCACCGCTTGCTCCTTGTCGAGGTCCTTGTCACCATGGCGGGCCATCTGCTACTTCAGCCGGAGAGAGGCGGAGGGTGAAGTCCTCGACATGCTCACACGGAGGGGCGGGCGAGGGTTCTCCCACTCCTTATGCATCGGCTGCGGCGTGGCGCGGCGAGGCGCGATCAACGCCGATCGCGACCGCGACGATGGAGTCCCACGCCTCCTTGGCCCGTCGCCTTGTCCGCCAGCGGTCGCGCCCATCTCGGTGGTACCCGGCGATGATGGCCTCGGCCTTGGCGATCGTCGTGGTAACGGAGGTCGCCGTACTTTCGATGGCGTCCCAGTAGCTGGCCGCTGCATCTTCACCTTCTTGAGCGAGCTCCACTCGTGGTAGTCGGTTTTTGTCGACGATCGGCCATGGTGTCCCGTCTTGCCGGAGTCCTTGTACACCGCGGGCCGGTTTGCTTGTGACTCGCGACGACCTCCGCGTCCCGACGGCGCTCGAAGATGGCAATGGGATCCGGCGGTGCCGCCCGGCTCGTGTGGCCTCCTGGTCGCCGCTCCAACTCACAGCGCGTGGCCGCGGCGGCCGTGGCCAGCGTCACCTGGCCGCCTCGATCGCTTCTGGCGCTACGGCCTTTGCGCGACCGAGCTCAACGCGATCGGCGCGAGATTGACCACCACTCCTCCACTTTGTGTTGGCGTTTGCCAAGTGTTGGCTTTGCTCTGTAAGCGGCTTCATTTGGAAGTGACATGACCTTTGCTCTCTCATAACCACCTCGATACCAATTGTTGCAAGTAGCTAGACAAGTGGAATTTCTCTGCCGGAGGGCGCTTGGCACTTAGCCGCTTGATTGCATTATGTAGGAATAGCAAACTTGGGATACAAGAAGTTATCAACTACTACAACATATTCTAGTGCATAAAGTAGATGCTAGCTTGGATGCTAATGCACCCGAAAACAGACTAGAGCAAAGGAATAGTAAATAGCTAAGTAGATAACTAGATACATGGGTAAGCACTAGGCTAAACCCTCACAAAATTGGTCCCACCAATGATAGTTACAATGATGATTAGAGAAAAATATTGGTAGGAAACATACAAGCAATGTTTATAAGCATCAAATCAAAATATTAGGGAACGCCAGCATCCGAGAGAACTATGTTGATGAAATGATGGGGTTCCCTCGTTCTAAATTATAGGTCACTTTGGTTTGTCCTAAATCAAATTTCTTTAGCTTTGACCAAGTTTATAAAAAAACACTAACATCTACAACATACAAAAAAAGGGCGTACCCAGTGCAGAGAGCTCCCGCTCTGTGCGGGGTCTGGGGAAGGGTGTCAGTGGCAAGCCTTACCCTCGCTTGTGCAATGCGAGGAGACCGCGATTCGAACCCGGGACCTTCCGGTCACAGACGGTAAGACTCTACCGCTTGCACCAGGCCCGCCCTTCAACATCTACAACATCAAATTAGTTTAATTAACTTCTTCATGAAATATGTTTTGATAATGCATTTAGTTTGTATATGTTACTATATTTTTCTAAAAAAATGATCAAAGTTACTTTGACTTAGGACATAGCCAAAGTAAACTATAATTTAGAACAGATGACGTACTATACATATAGCATTAGATAAGATAAGTTTCGTCAATGAAGTTTTATCTTTGTGCTATTTTATTTCAGCAGTTAGTGTTGTGTGATGAAAATACTGTTACCTGCAATCTTTAAAGTATCCCCATGAATATAATAAGAGCGCTCCACTTGGAGTTCCACAAACAACCTTTTTACCATTCTGAGAGTCACAAAGAATAATTTAAAATTCGATTATCATGACAAACAGGACAGAAATGTTGCTCAACAAAAACTGTTTGCCAAATATAGCTACCTTCATTACCACCAAGGATAGCAACTCATCTTCTGAAAATTCAGATCGTGATCTTACCTGGTATCAAATCAGAAACAGTTACAAGATTACAAGTCAACTTACAATAATTCATCAGTAAATGATAACCATTGGTAAGAAGTCCTAAAACACAAAATTCAACACATTAGAAGCAAGAATCGATGTACTCAAGGGAAACTCACTTTATTCCTCCATGGGTTGTTCACAGACAAAGTTCCATCCCCACTACAAGGAAGCAAAGAAGTTTAACCCTTAGTTACCATGTTGTATCATGCACAGAATAGGTGTCAATAAATTTGACAGGCAAATGGTTTGCAAATAAATACATCTTCAGTGACTCATAGAATTTCTTTTGTTAGCTGGTATTAAAAGATCACATCAAATTACTTAATAACTACTCCACATGAAGTAGCAGTTAAGTGCAGAGCTAAAACAGGAGTATTTATGCCTGCTTCATGACAAAAATTGGGAAATAAAATAAGAGGATTGGTGAAAATATTTAGTTATTTGCCATGCAGACAACATTTCAGCTGTGTTTGATACATCTCAACTGCAGGGAATCTAGTTGTACCTTGTGGCCAGTATCTGATTTGAGTCAGCCACATAGGTCATATCTGAAATGTAATCATCATGGACTTCAAAACTGTTGCAGCAAGATCGTTCCCGGGTATCCCATACCTAAAATTAAAAGAATGAGGATAACTAAGTCAAAAATTACATTATACATCTAACAGAAGATAATTGCATATAAAACACTTTTTTCTGCAAAAGGAGCCATCTCAAAAACGTCACAAAAACAGACATAAGTGAACATTTCTGTAACAGTGATTTCAGTATGCTTGGCACAAGCATTGCTATATAAATAAGCTTGTTAATGCTTATTTTCATATGACCCCGAAATGTGAAGGTACTGGAAACAAAATGATGAAACTGAACTGTGTTGTAGCACCTATACATCTTAGGCTAGCAGACTTACTGCTTCATACCTTAATGCAGCCTTCATCATCACCTGTGGCAATCGTAGATTCAGTAAGACAGACAAAGGCGGTTTATGGCATTCCTAAAATCAAGTTACAAATGGGCCAATGTTTAGTTCCACAAATAAAATAAATACTAGCACTGAAAACTAACAAAACTCACTCATGTGCATCCTCCAAGCGGGCAATGGGCTTGCCTGATTCTACATCAGAGGCAAGAACTGAGCAATCAGCTGACCCGACAAAATCACTGAACCAAACCACAACATCAAGAAAACCATCAGGATATGGTTAGCGGACATAAGGCATGCAACATGATCTATCAAGGTGTGCTCCCGTCCCAATTAGTTCCAGATTGTCATTGCCAGCTTAAAGCTGCTAATTTTGTAGTATCGTGTTTGAAGCATAACAGAGTGAGAAACAAAGATTAGAATGATCCATAAAATGCAGTGCAAGCGGGTACACAGGTTGGCAGGTATATAACATAATTCGATAACAAAAAAGGCAGTATGGCATTACCTTTTCCTGAGTCCACAAAACGAACAGCTCTGCATGACTCCTTGTGAGCTTTTACCGAAAACAACCTTAGTATCAAACAAAAACGAAGTGAATATCAATCTCTAAGGTACGGAATCAACCTTCGAATTGCCAAAGCGTAAGTGCATAACCTCAATGAAAGACTCCAGAATCACGGAATGCACTAACCACATGATATTTCTATCTTTGCAATTCAATTCAAGTCAGCAGTTAGAGACTACATGGTTATAGAAACTGTGGGCACACCTAAGCAAAAACCAAGGAATAGAAACTGTGGGCACACCTAAGCAAAAACCAAGGAACACTAATCTGATGCTATAAGCAAAGCAATACAGTGCCGAGCACCGCAAGCAGAATTCTAAGTGTGAAATTAACAGAGCAGGAGCAGCAACGGAACTTCCGTGAGTACCTCTCAGGCTGCGACTCCGGGCGGTAGCGGAACCTATGAAACCAACCAGATTGGAAGCGGTTAGTCTGTGCCGGTAAGAACAAGCAAACTGGAACGCGAAACTTGGAAAGGGATAGGGTTTAGTGCGTGTGCGGTTCGGAGGGCGTACAGGCAGAGCTCGCCGGTGATGAGGGAGGTGACGACGAAGGGGGAGGACGGGTGGAAGTCGAGGTCGAAGGGCAGCTCCTCGTGGAGCGCCTCCATCGCGGCGGCTGGCAGAGAGGGAGGCGGGCGGCGGCGCGGCTGACGGAGAAGGAAACTGCCGTGGGAGGGCGTCTCGGGCAGCTGGGCTATAAGGCCTGAGAAAAGACAACACGCATACGGCCGTTTTCAGATAGCTGGGCTGGACTTGCTAAAAAAAAAAGATAGCTGGACATGTGTAACGGGCTCCGAAGTACTCGCGCTGAGGGTCCAAACGAGATCTGATCGCAAAAAAACTCGCGCTGAGGGAAAGCGTCGCTGCCAACCAGTCCGATGGCAGCCCTGCGCCGACCCCCCTCCCTCATATTATGTCCTGGCTTTAGTTTGGCCCAACAGCAGTTTCGTCCCATAATTCCACGCAGAAGCGATGACTGCCGTGCGACCTGCCGTCGGAGCACTCGATCGGGTCTACGTTCCGTCCTAGGTGAGTTTTTCTCGTTTTTTTCTGTTTCCATTCCTTTTTCTTTTCTTCTACTATTTCTTTTTCCTTTCTCTTTTCTCTTTTATTTTTTTGTTGTGTTCTATTATTCTTTATTTTCTTATATTTCTTTTTTTTCTTTCCTTTCTTTCCTTTCTTTTTTCATTTTTTCTTTTCGGTACTCTTTTATTATTTTTTTGTTTTCTTTTTATATATTCTTTTTTTATTATATGTTTTCCTTTTCTTTTTTCTTTCCTTTCATTCATTTGTTTTCTTTTTCTTTTTTTTTCTTTTTCTGGACTTTTGTCATTCTTTTCATTTTCTTTATCCTTTTACTATTTTTATTTTACTCTATTAATTTTTATTTCCTTTTTTTTCCTTTCCTTGCTTCTCTTTAGTTTTTTGTTTTTCTTTTTTCTTATATTTTTTAACATTTATACAATTTTAATTTCTTTTTTGATAGAGTTAATAATTTTGTTTATTTCATTTTTTATTTTCGTATTTTATTTTTTTTCTTTCTTTTCTTCTATTTATAATTTTATGTTTCACTTTTTTTATTTATAGACACGCGTGATGTTCATGTAGTATACATATGATGTTCTATGATGTTTTTTTATGTCCGCGACTACAAATATGATGTTCTACGATGTATTTTGTGATGTTAAGCAAGCATACATTATGTGTTAGGATATATTTTGTGATGTTCGCTAGCTTTTTTTCTTTTTATTTGACTCTAACTAATTAGTTCACTAATCTTATTATTTTATTATTTTACATTTTATGCTATTTTTGTATTGTTCACGTAGTATACATATGATGCTCTATACTATATTTTATAATGTTCGTGTAGTGTCAATGTGATGTTCTACAATGTCTTTTGTGATGTTTAGTAAGCATAAATTGATGTTCTAGATATATTTTATGATGTTCGGTAACACTTTTTCTTATTTTTTTACTCTAATTAATTACTTCACTAATTTTATTATTTTATTTTACATTTTTATGGTATTTATGGTGTTCTTGTAGTATACATACGATGTTCTATGCTATATTTAGTTATATTCGTGTAATGTTAATGTGATGTTCTACGATATATTTTATAATGTGCGATAGCATCTTTTCTTCTTTTTATTTGACTATAATTAATTACTTCACTAATTTTAATTTTAATTTTAATTTTTATATTTCATTATATATGTGATGTTCACGTAGTATACATATAAGGTTCTGTGCTATTTTTGTGATGTTCGTATAGTGTTAATATGACGTTCGATGACTATCTTTAAATACATACTCATCATGAGATAAATGTTCATTAAAACTTTTTATCGAAATGTATTCATGTGGGGGGCTTGTTTTGAGGAGTTTATTGCGAGGAACACGATAGTGTAATCGGATTTTAATTAGGATACTTAGTTTATGATTTATGACTTTTTTACTTCCAAAAGCATGGGATGTGCTGACATCAGCATTTTTGGCTTTAGTGCATGGCTGCTGCTTGGCATGCCAGCGCGTTACGTGAGAAACAGCCCGTGAAGGTCCAAGATAATTAAGTTTGGCCCACTATTTTGAAGCGCGCGTAGGGAGAGGGTCGGCGTGGGATATCTGCCACCCAGGTCAGCACCTAGGCGCCCCCCACCCAAACGAGATCTGATCGCATCTCTCTGTTTCCTATGTTGCTCCAAAAAAATTCTCACAATACTTTGCTACATTTGGAAAGTCAGAAATGAAAAAGATTCAATTCAAATCATGGATGGTTTGGCAGGTTCACAATGAAGTAGCTGCACATATTTCAGTCAACAATGCAGCTCATTCCTAAGATATCAACGGCCAGGAAATCTTAGGAAACCACCTACCCAATCAAAACCATCGGCCATTTAAGCTACCATGCAACAACAGTATTTTATGTTACAACGCACAAGCATTTTTTTATAGCGTATATGTATAAGTATATTGGTATTTATAATGTCTAGTAAGTATTTCTAGATAGATTAATTAATAGATGAATATAGTTTGATAATAGAGAAATATTAAAAAAAACTTGACCCATGGTTTCGCTTAAGAAAAAGGATTTGCTCAAATTCATGTTCCTGAATTTTAGTTTCCTTCCAGACAACGGTTAATGCATATATTTTATACTAAAATTACAGATTTCGTTTGTTGCAATTTTACATAAAACCACAAATCCGACAAAATCTGATTTATGTTGGCACAAAGACAATTAATAATTTACAATTATTTTCTATAGGAAAACAAGGACAAGATTTGATGTGGCAGAACCGCCTAATCTAATGCCTCTCAGAAGTACTTGTCTTTCATTTGATATTAAGTACTAAAGGAAGGACACTAAATTATGCAGTTCCGTCGAGCACACCCCAAGGGAGAACCTATAAATCTACATTTTTTCATCAGAATCACAAATGAGAGAATAAAACTTACAATATTCTTACATCATTTCTTACATCACTTTCCATGCAACATCATAGTATAATATTTATTGTTTATAACAGCGGAATATAACCATGTTATCAGAGTTTTAGCGAAAATAAAATCATTTAATGGCAAGTTAAACATTACACGATGATCCGTTATATACATCATAACAGGTTATAAGTTTTTCCATTGTAAAACATTTTGGGTGAAATTTTAAAATAAACTCTATGTCCGTAACGTTAAGGAAATCATCATTTGAGCCCACTAGGAGGTTCCCCGCACACAAGTGTCATTTCTAGCATCCACCTGCTACTTGCAATGAGGATAGAACAAACCCCGAGTACTCAATTGTACACATAAAACTTATCCGTCGGGAGGAAAGAAAAAAGACTCCAAGGATATGCAAAGCTATCTCGGCTTGTGGGTTTATTGCATCTGCAGGAGGCATTACTAAGCGTGCATCCTTATATTCAATTTTAGTAGCAGGTCATCATTAGTTCATTAACTAATCATTCTATGTAAGCACTGTGCTACTTTCAACCATGTGGTAAGCAATCGGATCTATTTTATCATCTTTCATATTCCAGTTCTTACTACGGTGCTAGATCATAGACAAGTTGGCGATTCGCGAATCAATGTATCCTAGCTAGGTACCCCGAAACACACGCCCGCTTGTACCCTGGCACAAGCAAGACCAACCCATCACTCTCCTATCAAGGGTCTAGGTCCTCGTCCAAACTTGGACTCTAAGTCCCCACACCGAGAGTCCTGCACTCGGTGTGGTGCTTAAACCTCCACCATCCCCGCCTCCAATCAGTCGGTCCAGAAAGAGCCGAAACTCATGACAAGAGAGCAATGAGTCTTTCCGCTCCCACAAGTAAGTATGTGCTCAGGATAATAAGTATGTGACCCGACTAGAATCCAATGCAACGACGGTCCTCAATCGACACAAAAAGAAACAAAGTGCAATCCGAGCCTTGCTCAATGCCTAACTAAGTCCAAATCCAAAGTATCATTCCGTCCGATCTTCAATTATCATTCATATATACTTCATGTGATAGTAATATAATAACAATAATAATATCTTTCCTATCTCTCGCGAGTGACAGGTAATCACTCGACTTCTACCGGAGTCCTGTAGTATAGCAATCTACACGATCCTATCATACTAGTATGACTCATAGGATAATGATATATATATGCAAGTGGTTTTTATTCGACTCCTTAAGACTTAATGCACAAGCATAAGATAAAGTGCAGAATAATAGGGGTTATGCACCGGGGCTTGCCTGGGTAAAATATAACCAAGTTAGCTGTTCGTCATGGTGGCATGATCATCACGTCACCAACTGCTTCTGCTACTCTAGATGTCTTCGCGATCAATCGTTGTTCCTATTATGATATATGTGGATGCAACGCAGAAACGTAAATGATCAACGGCAACCGTAACTCTAAAATACGATTACGTCTCGCCAGCTAACGAGCTAGCTCTAATGACTAACATACTAAGCCATGTATCCACATGGTCAAGTGAGGCTCGTTTCTAGAAAATGTTTTTGTTCTACAAACCCCAATTATTTTTGACATTTGATTGATTAAATATATATTTTCGTACTATGGTTCATTTAGTTACCTTAACAAAGTAATTTCTACGGAGCTACAAAAATTATAGTGAGCACTTAATATTGTTAGGAATCTACTGTAAAAATTTCAGGGCCAGTACTACTACCAATTTATTACAATAATTCCTACAAGTTCATGTTTTAAACATTTTAAGTGCTTTAAATTAATTAGTCTACACTTGAAAATTCTATGAAACTAAGTGAACAAAATACATTAGTAGATAGGTCATGATTTTAGAAACCTAACAAAATTGGTTTCATAATTTTTGAACACCTACATGATTTTATATGATTTACCAAAGATTGACTCAGAAATGTAATTAGAAAACCATTTAACTAATTCGCTTAAAAAGAAAGGGCGACGAGCTCAAAGATAACCCAGCGTGGGCACGCGGCTCACACGAGCCACACCCACGGCGGGGTAGCTCATTCATGAGCACTACGTGTACTATTGCTATAGACAACGACTTTGCAAGGAAGCCCTCGTATCCTCTCGTCTTCGCATCGGAGAGGTCCCCGATGCCTCCGCG